CCCGCACCAAAAATCAGTGGACGTCTTGGGGTCTCAGGGTTGGGTTTCTTGTGGGAGGTTTCTTGTGATCGAGCTCCTACAGTAGGGGCAACGTTCGGGGGGGTAGGATCGGGGGGGCGTTTCGACTCCAGGCGCCAATGGATCGCCGAGAGGGGCTGGTTGACGCACCCTGCCCAGGAACGTGCGGATTCGCTCTCGGGGTCCATCGCCGACTTCTCGGCGATGCATCTCCCATTCTAGCTCCATGCTTCCCCCCTGAGCCGATCTCCCCTCCACCGCTCCCCCTCGGGGATCCTCACGGTTCGGTTCAGCTCGAGAAGTGCCGCAGAGGCGTGGTCGAGGGCCCCAGCTGTTACGTCGCGACGTCGGACCTCATGGCAGGGGTGTACCTTCGGCCACGGACAGGAGCGCGGCGCGGCCCGGGGCGGCGGAAGGAATGCGAGGAGTTTGGACCTAGGCCTCCCAGGAGCGCGAGGAATGGATCACCACCCTTCCCTTCCCATCGCCCTCCTCCCTCTCCCTCCTCTTCCCCTTCCTCCTCCTCCTCCTCCTCCTCCCCCTCCTCCTCCTCCTCCTCCTCCTCGTCCTCCTCCTCCTCCTCATCCTCCTCCTCCTCTTCCCCCTCCTCCTCCTCCCATTCCTCCTCTTCCTCCTCCTCCTCCTCCTCCTCTCCTCCCCCCCTCCTCTTCCCCCTCCTCCTCCTCCCCCTCCCCCCCCCTCCTCCTCCTCTCCTCCTCCTCCTCCTCCTCCTCCTCCTCCTCCTCCTCCTCTCCTCCTCCTGCTCCCCTCCTCCTCCTCCTCCTCCTCCTCCTCTTCCTCCTCCTCCTCCTCTTCCTCCTCCTCCTCGCCCTTTCTCTCCTCTGTCCCCCCGGAGGCGAATGGCACAGGCAGCCGCCGCCGCTTCGCCCTCGTCGCCCTGGTGCGCCCCGACGGTCAGCCCCCCGGCGGCGCGCAACGGGGGGGGGGCGGCCGCGAGGTGCGCAGAAGGGGGCGCTCTTCGCCCCGACAGGAGATCGGCCGGGGGACGCGCAACAGACCGCTTTCGCCTAGGCAGGCCAGCCACAACTCGGGGAGCTGTGGTCCTTACCCCCCTGGGGGACCCATCGATTTCGACGCCCCTCTCGAGAGATCGTCGACGCGATGGGTTCCCCCACGGGGGTAAGGACCACAGCTCCCCCAGTTATGGCTGGTCGGCTAGGCCTCCCAGACTGGGTCGGAGGATCGCGCCGCATCGCCGATGCATGGCCGATGCGGCTCGATGCGGAGCCCGATTTGCTTCACGCGGACGTCGCCGATGAGTCGCCGACGTCGGGATCATCGGGTGTTTCGGCGATACATCGGCGATGCATCGTATGTATGTATGTAATGTATGTAATGTATGTAAGTAATGTATGCATGTATTCATGCATGCATGTCTGTATGTCTGTATATATGCATGCATGCATGCATGCATGCGTGCATGCATGCATGTATGTATGTAGGTAGATGTATGTGCATGTATGTATATCTGTATGTATTCATGTATGTATGTATTTATGCATGTGTGTATGTATGTATGTATGTGTGTGTGTATGTATGTAGGTATGTAGATATGTAGGTATTTGTATAGTTATTTATGTATGTATGCATGTATGTGCGTATGTATGCGCGTATATGTATGTTTGTATGAATGTACGTAGGTATGCATGTATGCATGTCTGTATGTATACATGTATGTATGTGTGTGTATGTATGTATGTATGCATGCACGCATGTATGTATGTATGTATGCATGCATGTCTGTCTGTCTGTCTGTCTGTATGTATGTATGTATGTATGTATGTATGCATATGTGCATGTATGTATGCATGCATATATGTATGTGTGTATACATGTATGTATGTATGTATGTATGTATGTATGTATGTATGTATGTATGTATGTATGTATGTATGTATGTACCGTATGTATGTATGTATGTATGTATGTATGTATGTATGTACGTATGTATGTATGTATGTATGTATGTATGTATGTATACATGTATGTGTGTATGTATGTATGCATGCATGTATGTATGTATGTATGTATGCATGCATGTATGTATGTATGTATGTCTTTATGCATGTATGTATGTACGTATGTGTGTATGTAGGTTTGAATGTATGTATCTGTGTTTGTATGCATGTGTGTGTATATTTATATAGTTGATATCTACGCACACACTCACACATAAATATATATACACATGTATATGACATTCGTGGCATAGACGACGACCTCCCAGGAGCTGCTCCCTGTGGCCTGGTCACAGATCTGCTCGCCGCCCGTGGCGGCGTGCGGGGGGTGCCGCCTCCTCTGTGAGGGCCGCCCCTTTCGCCCTGCGAGCCCCCCCCCCCCGGGTGCGCGCCGCCGATGTCCGGGGCCACAACTTCGCCGGCCCGCTGCCTGCCGGCCTGCGGTGCTCCGGAGGGGAGACAAAAACACACAGACAGACAATAAATCGGTGACGCCCAGGAGAACATGGGGAAATATGGGAAGTGGGAGCCTCCCATACTTTCCCATATTTTCGCATATTCTTCTGGGCGTCTTCCCTCCCACTGGGAGTGAAGACGAAAACCTTGGAAATACCCGGAAATCTGGGAAATCCTGGGATTTGTGTGCACTGATGCCTGTGTCCCTGGGCCCCTTTTAGGTACGCGAGGGACTTCATCACCCCTGACGAGGAGGCCGAGCTGGACGAGGCTCGGCGGCACGCAAGAGCGTGAGCCCTCCGCCAGAGGGACCTCCCCAGAGCTGCCGGCGCCGCCACACGAGAGTCACGACGGGAGGTTTCTGGCCGCGTTCGGCCCCTGGGGCCCTCGCCGGGCCCCGGGGCAGTCAAGCAGGGGCTCGGGGCCTTGCTGTGCTGGTCGGTTCGACTTGCAACAGTTGCGCTAGTGGCAGGGCTCTGTGCAAGTCGCGGGCACAACTTGGCGCAGCTGGGCGTACTTGCAACCCGCTTGCAAGTGCCTTGCAATAGGGCTGCAGCCACCTTTTGCAACTGTTGCAGGTCACAGCGGTCAGTGCAGCGGGGAGAGGTTCGGCCACGCGCAGAGGGTGGGTCAGGGGAGGAGGACGGCTTCTGAGAAGGAGGCTGCTTCTTGGCAGCCCTCCCCCTTCCCCCTGCCCTCTTGGTGGTGCGCGCCGCCAAAAAGAGTCGGGGGTGGACAGAACCCCCACCCTGACACGTCGATTGGTGAATTGTCTGTTTTCGGTTTTCGAGAGGGCGCCGCGGCCGTCATTTCCCAGGCTTGCGGCCGCCAGGTTGGGACCCGAGGTCGTTTCAGTAAACCACGTTTCACTAAAGGGGCTTCTATCCATCCCCGAAAGAGTCGGAACTTCTGGGGACCTCGTGCTGAAAAGGCCAGGACCTCGCATGATTGGGTCCGGAGTGCATCTCCCCGGGGGCGTGGGGGCGGCCCAAAGGCCGAGCACGCAGGCCGCAGCGCTCTCATCGCACATCGCACGCGGCGAGATCGGCCCTCAAGCGGCGCACCGGAGGTCACTCTCGCCCAGCAGTTACCAGCTGGAAACACATCCCTGTCCCTATGTTTGGCATCACCTTATCTCGGTGCTTATCTTAGGGTTCCCTCAGTCGCTGAGGGCACATCCCTAAGATTGTCGACGCCTTGGGCTCGCCGATCTTAGGACTGGGATGAGTTCGAGGCTGGTTATGTAGGAGCAACGTCAGGGGGAGTTGCGGAGGGGGGATGCATCGACCCCCGCTCGCTTACTCATCGCCGGCCTCCCAGATGGGGTCGGAGTACATGGGCTCGGAGGATCGCACCGCATCGCCGATGTATCGGCGATGCGGCTCGATGTGGAGGAGCCTGGTTTTCTCCGCACCGCTGGCGCCGATGCATCGCCGACGTCGCCGGTGCATCGCCGACGCATCGGCGACGCATCGGCGGCGCTGTCAGGTTCTTCGGCCCCATCTACTCGGACCCCATCCAGGAGGCGTCTACATACGGGCCAGATAGTCCTCCCCGCCCCGGGCCGTGCTGTTTTGCCATCGGAGGCTCATCGCCGATCTGTCGGCGACGCATTGCCGACCCCGGCTCGATGCGCCCCTCCGATCCCGTCCCCCCCTGACGTTTCCCCTCTGCCAAGGGCCACTCTCTTGCGAGTACAGCCGGGAGGTCATGGGCGTCGGCGACCAGGCAATCATTTTTTGTCCTCTGGCGATGTCGGGCGTGACCGGGGGGTAGCGGGAGAGGGAGCCGGTCACGTCACGATTCGCGGCGGCGCCCTTTGGGAATGCTCAGGAGTGGCCCATTCTCTCACGTAGCCAGCGCAAGTCGTGGCGTGACCAGGGGAGGGAGGGGAGGCCCAGGCTTGGGCCAGTCACGGGTGTTCTCGCGAACAAAAAAGTCCAGACCCTCGACGTCGTGTGTGTTTTTCGTAACTTTGACCCGCAGCGGTCTTGACCCATTCTCCGGGCCAGCTTGTCCTCCTGAGTCGTTTCTTGGCCGCCCCGGGGCCAGCGAAGCCCCCCCAGACGCCGAAAAGGGTGAAGCGCCGCCCGCCGGGATTTTGTCTTCCACGGCTCGAGGGGGTCTGGGAACGGGCCCCAGTGGATGCGGCACCTCAAGAGCCGGGCGCAGCAGTTCTTCGGCCTCGTCTATTACCAGTGATGGGCCGATTCTCCACCACCACTACCATAGGTAGGAGAGGGATGATGAGGAGGAGGCGGAGGCAGCGGAGGAGGAGGAGGAGGAGGAGGAGGAGGAGGCGGAGGAGGAGGCGGAGAGGGAGGAGGAGGAGGAGGAGGAGGAGGAGGAGGAGAGGAGGAGGGAGGAGGAGGGAGGAGGAGGAGGAGGAGGAGGAGGAGGAGGAGGAGGAGGGAGGAGGAGGAGGAGGAGGAGGAGGAGGAGGAGGAGGAGGAGGAAGGAGGAGGGGAGGAGGAGGAGGAGGAGGAGGAGGGAGGAGGAGGAGGAGGAGGAGGACTTCCCCATCCTCCATTCTCTCCTGCCCTACCCATGCTAGTGCTGGTGGACAATTGGCCAATCAGCCAGACCACGCACGCCCTCCCGGCGCTGCAGCCCGCGGGCGCGTCCGAGCAGGCCGGCCGGCCGCTGGGCGCGCTGCCGCCCTGGCTGCTGCCGCGGGTGCTGGCCACGCAGGTGTTCGCGAGCGCCCGGGAGGTCAGCCAGGTCGGAGGGTCCTCCTCCGCCTTCTCCTCCTCCTCCTCCTCCTCGGGGCGGGGCACAGGCCTCCCGAATCGGGGGCGTCCAAGATCGAAGGCGGACGAAACGCCATAAACATATGGATTCAGGCTGGCCCCCCCTGGTGGCGCCACACCTGGCGCGCTCCGCGCGCCAGGGAGGGGGGTCCAGCGCGGATCCAAGAAACCCGCGCGGAGCGCCAAAGGTTATGTTTATGGCGTTTTGCTTGTCTTCTACTTCCTCTTCTTCTTCTTCTTCTACTTCCTCTTCTTCTTCTTCTACTTCCTCTTCCTCTTCCTCTTCTTCTTATTCTTCTTCTTCTGCAAGAGGGGGGTGATGATCAGGGGATTCGGGGGGGGGATCTCCTGGCAGGGCGGGGGGGCCACGAGATCTCCTCGGGCGGCATGGCTGGCCCCCTCGTCTCGCCCCAACGCGTTCCCTGGCCCCCCCCCCCTGTTTGTCCGCGCACGCGCGTCGGACCACGACGCACCCCTCCCCCCTTCGGCGGCCCCCCCCCCAGCCTTGGACGCCCCCGACCAGAGAAAAGCTGCTCCCCGGCGGGAGGGAGGTCCGCCAGGTCGAAGGTGGGCGGGGTCATACCTCGAGGAGCGAGACACTGCAGAAGCGTGGACTCTCGGAGGTCCGTGCGGATTTTGTGGATCGAGGCTGGACTGGCGCGGGATCTCTTGGATCGACGCTGGACTGGCGCGCGGAGCGCGCCCGGGGCGGCGCTGGGGGCTCCAGCGCCGATCCGAGAAATCAGCGCGGACCTCCCGGCGTTTGTGTGCATGTTTTCCTTTGCTCCCCGAGTTCAGCCCCCCGAAGAGAGACTCGGCGGATCGATTCAGCCCCCCCCTCTCCCACGTCCAAGAACGCCTCGTGGCGGGGCCGCTGCCGCACGGGGTTTTGGTGTAGTGTTGGTTGGGATAAGGGGGGCGCCGTTGCGAGGAGATGGCGGTCCCATGAAGACTCCGATGGCACCCCGAAGCGTTCCCTGAAGCCAAGTGCCGCTGTCTTCACAGGTTTTCTCTTCAGGAGTCTGGTAGGAAACGGAACACAAGTCAGGTCCCGCTGGGCTCCTGACAGGCTTGCCTGAGTACCACCAGGGCCGCCCGACCGCTGACCTGACCAATCTCAGGCGATCGCAAACATGGATCAAGGGGGCGTGGATTAGCGACGGGTCCCGCTTCCATGGGAAATCGCGGATATTGCAGCCGGCGAGCGAGGCGGCACGGGCCGCCTTTTGGGGAGGGCACCTTCCCCGATCCATGGTTTAGGCGACCGCGCGCCAAATCCATGGATCGCTAATCCATGTTTGCGCGCCCCCGACACCAGGGCCGCCCGACCACTGACCTGACCACTCAGCCGTGGAACTGCCGCCCTGGGGTCACAATGAGTCAGGCCAGTGCTCCTGCCGCTCGGGCCTCGCCTCCTCCTCCTCCTCCTCCTCCTACTTCTCCCCCTTCTCCTTCTCCTTCTCCCCCTCCTCCTCCTCCTCCTCCTCCTCCTCCTCCTCCTCCTCATCCTTATCCTCATCCTCCTCCTCCTCATCCTCCAAAGGGGCTCGACCGACCCGAACGCTGTCCAGGCCCTCTTTTGATCTTCAAGGGGGAGGGGAGAAAGTGTTCGTTGGCCTTCGGAGGTTTCCTCGCCTCGGAACGCTCTCTACAGGAGCTGCGCCTCGGCGAGAGCATCCCCGGGGCGCCCAGATCGTCCCGAACGGCCGCCGGGCCACGGCCGTGGCCGGAGAGCCACCTGGCGCCCTGCAGCAGAGTTTATGCTTTCGATCCAGTCCCTGCGCTTTGAAGTCGGCTTCGGCCAGGGCGATCCGATTTGCTCCCGATATTCGTAAGTCGGGCCTGTCCCCCTACAGGAGGAATATTCCCAAATCGTAAAATAGAGTCTGGTGATGATGTTTTTGACTATTTCTGATTACCTTTGAATCTTCCTAGACATTTTTTTCCTTCCCAACTCCGCCTATAGGATGACATGCCCGACCTAGGATACTCCGATGGCCCGATGCGGCTCGGTGCGCGCATGGCGTTGTTCTGTATCCTGGCGCAGCCCATCGGATCCGGTTTTGGCTCGGTGCCGAGGCCGCCCGAGCCGGCGCACACTCCGATTCGATCCGGTAGAGGGAAGCAATTACTGAACACTCCCCCTCCCCCCCAAACTCAATGTTGGCACGCGCGGGGGAGACTGCGGTCGAAGTGCATCTCATCAGACCCACCGCCAACTTTGAACGTTGGGGGGAGGGGGAGGCGTTGATGGATGAATGTGGCATGTGTCCGCTATTCTGTTCCGAGACCTGTCCGACCTCCCGATTCGATGTTGACCGACCCTGGCCAGGTGGCCGCCAACGAGTACCTGGACAACGCCGGCATCTCCCCGCACGTGGAGGACGCGAGGGCGGCCAAGCACCCCTCCGCACACCGCGTCCCGGCCGTGGGGAGCGTGGGGCGCCCTTCAGGGGCGGTGAGCGGATCCCCCTCTGCCAAGCGGGGACGGCGCAGCTGTCAGGAGGGGGAAAAAACACAGACACAACTAATCGTCCACTCCCAGGAAGATATGGGAAAATATGGGAACTGGGGGGGAAGACGAAAACCCAGAAGATGTGCGAGAATATGGGGAAAACTTCTATGCGTGTGTATTTGTTTGTGTGTCCTGGGGCCCCTTCAATCTGCCGATCCAGGGCCCCGGGCTGGGCCGGCTGGCCAGGGATCGGCGCGGGCGGATGCGCAACAGGCGTCCCCTGGGAGGGTTCCCGACCGCCCTCGGCCCGCCATCCTGGCCACCCCGCCGTTGCGCAGCAGACGCGGCGTGGAAGCCAGGGCCAGAGTGGCCGGCCCCCTCTCAGAGGGCGAAACCCACCCCAAAGCCCAGTCTCGACCTCAACCCCCGAACCGGCGATCTAGGGTTACAAGTCGGGCATGTCCCTCCATAGGAGGAAAATTCCCAAATAGTGAAAAATAGTCAGGGGACGATTGTTTTGATTATTCTGAGGTATTTTTGAACCTGTTTTGACTATCTCCCATTTTTCTTTCCAAATCCGCCTGTAGGAAGACATGCCCGACCCAGCCCCAGTCCCGACTTCCACCCCTGAGCCGGCGATCCGGGGGGTTAAGACTGGGGGCAGGGGTGCGGTCTGGATCCGTGGGCCCTGGCAACATCACCAGCCCATTACCCCGGTCACGACCCTGTGGATCGCTGGCTCGGGGTGTGGCCGGGACCAGGGGTGGAGGTGGGCGTTTGCCTCTTGGACCATGCTTCAAAAGCCAGAGCAGGCTGCATCAGCACAGCTTTTTGGTGGTCCGCGCGGACTTCGGAGTCGGCGCGGGGGTGCAGGTGGGCGTTCGCCTTCCGACCATTTCTTTCGAAAGCCAGAGCAGGCTGTATCAGCACAGCTTTCTGGAGGTCCGCGCGGACTTCCGGAGTCGGTGCCAGACCGCCCTTGCAGCGCCCCCTGGGCCTCCTAGATGGGGTCGGAGTAGATGGGTTCGAAGGATCGCCCCGCATCGCCGATGCATCGGCGATGCGGCTCGACATGGAGCCCGAGTTTCCCCACGCCGACGTCGCCGATGCATCGCCGATGCATCGGCGATGCATCGGCGATGCATCGGCGATCCAGTGCAGTGCTCCGACCCCATCTACTCGGACCCCATCTAGGACACCTCCAGCGCCGGCCCAGGACCTCCGGAGGCTCGCGTGTGAGCGACGCAAGAACACGGGGCCGTCTTCACCGACGTTGGCGCGCAAGCTGCCCGCACAGGATGGCGCGTCAGCCCCCTCGTCTCCAATGTTCGCGTGCCGCGCCGGCGGCCCGCGTAATTAGGCGGCCGCACAAGGTGGCTGCGCCACCTTACGCGTAAGGCCTGTCTCCTTTGGTCGCTCGTGTGTTCGTGCCGCTTCTCTTCTGGGTGCCCTCCGCCCCTCTCCCCCTCTGCGGCCGCCTCGTCTGCCCTGCTCCCCGCTCTCGCATGCTGGCCAACCCGCCCTTCGGTTGCCCCGAATCGCTCCTCGCGGGTGCGGAACGCCTCTGCCTCGCCGCCAACGTTCAGTCGGGCCTGTAATTGTACAAGGTAGTCAGGGGACGGTTTGGGATCATTCTTGAGTAGTTGTGAATTGTTTCTGCTATTTTTAATTTTTCCTCCAAAATCCTCCTCTAGGGGGACATGCGTGGGCCCCCCCCCGGAGCCCTTGACACCTTCACCGGGGGACGCCTCTTCGCCCCGAGCCGCTCTTTGGCGGCACCGAGAGGCCCCAGGCTCATCTCCGGGGGCCCGGATCGGGACAACTTGCTTTGGAGGCCAGTCCACAAGAAACCTTCCACGAGAAGCGCAATCCTGAGACCCCAGGACGTCCATTGGCTTCTGGTGTGGGAGCGTCGCGCTTTCCATCGCAAGACCATCGAAACCCAGGAAACCCAGGGCACCGCGGAGGCAAGCGGGGACTGCTTCTTGGCATGGGCCTCCATGGTAAGGTTCGAGGTTGCCAGAACTGCGGTTTGCCGGCGCTTCTTGACGGGCCCGTCCTGAAGTTTGACGGCCCAGTTTTGGTGGGATGCTTGCAGCGGGAGCTCGCGTCAAATTTCAGACGGTTCTCGCCATTTCCCTGATGGCCCCGTCAGGCCAACCCGAGTCCCCCAAACCCGAGTCGACCGATCAAAATGGTGCCCACCCGCCTGCTCATTTTTCCGTACATGCCACAGCACATATGTTTACCTTAATTGCCTCACTTCTTGCCGATGCGCCGTTTGGGCGCGGCATCTTGCGTTGCGTTGCCGATGTCTGGGCTGGGGGCCCAGGATAGGGCAGGGAGTACCTGTCCTGGGCTGCGTTCTGCCTCCGAGCGGCATGCAGCTGGTAAGGCTTCGGGGTGCGTACAGAGCCTCCCAGGTAGTCCCGGCTGCCCTTAACAGGCCCCCCCCCGAGCAGTCCCAGTTGGCCTCAGGCTCCCCGAGTAGTCTGAGGCGGTCTGAACAGCCCGGCGCCTCCGGCGGCGCCCCTGGAGCGCTCCGCGCTGAACTGTTGAGTCCGCCGTGGGCCACTCGGGGGGCCTGTTGAGTCCAGCTGGGACTACTCGGGGGGCCTGTGGAAGACAGCGGGGACTGCCTGGGAGGGCTGTCTGTGCGCCACCCGAGGGCCTCACCAACTGCAGTCGTGGCCACGAGAAGTCTCCTGGATGCCGAAACAGGCGAGCAGCGCACGGAAGAACGCTTATATCCCCGAGCTCCGAGGACCCGACCGCCTTCGCCCCCAACCTGGCCACCCTGTGCTTGCTGAGTTCCGTGCACCTGACGCTCATGTGATCGTTTTCAGATTCATTGTTTTGCCGATCGGCGCGGGCCCTCGCACCCCTGGGCTGTTTTCGGGACATGGTTCGAGCAGGTGGAGTTTTTCCCGTAATGGACGCCCTGTTGCAAACATTCGCGCTAAGCAGAGGTCCAGAGCCAGACCCCCCCCTCCCCCCCCTTCCGCCCACTGTCGAAATGCCGAATCAGAAAACGTTCACAAGAACGCTTATCTTCGAGCCCCGAGGACCCGACCGCCTTCGGCCCCAACTTGGCCACCCTGTCTCTGCTGAGTCCTGTGCACCTGACGCTCATCCCGACGAGCGAGCCGCCCCTGGACCAGTGCGGGGTGGACCACGGCAACTGGGTCAAGGTGCCCCCCTTGCCCCCACCTGGGCCCAGAGGCGGGGGAGGAAGAATAAGAGGAAGAGGAAGAGGAAGAGGAAAAGGAGGAGGAGGAGGAGGAGGAGGAGGAGGAGGAGGAGGAGGAGGAGGAGCAGGGCTGCGGTGAGTTCGCGCAGCGTTTCGTCGAGGATCGAGGTTCGAAGCTTCCTCTCGCCCTCGGGGGCTGTTGGGGGCGGTCCAGGTGGGGATGATGACCCGGGGGTGGGGGGATGGCTATCATGGCTGGGGCCATGATATCTCCCAGGATCTCGTGGCCCCCGTGGCCCCCTCTTCTCGATTTACTACGTTCCTTGGCCCCCCCCCCCTGGGCCGCGCACGTGCCTCGTGCCACGCCCTGCGAGCCCCCCTCTTGGGCGCCCCCCCCCTGGACGCCCCCCTGTCTGGGGCTCCGCGTCGGGCCCCGGGACCGGGAGAACTCGATGCGGGGTGCAATTCTAAGTCGGGCCTGTCCCTCTACAGGAGGAATATTCAAAATAGTTAAATACTCTGGGGACGATTTTTTGATTATCTTTTGCCGTGTTTGGAGTATTTCCCTACCTAGGCTCTGCCTAGAAGGGTTCTTACTCTCTTAGCTTAAAGGGGCCGGGCAGTGGAAAGCGCCCCGGGCGGTTCCCCCAGTCCCCTGGGAGCGGTTCCCCCAGTCTCCTGGGAGCTTTAGCTTAGCTTTAGCTTAACTTTAGCTTAGCGTTTCGCTTAGCTTTTCGCTTAGCGTTTAGCTTAGCTTTAGCTTAGCTTTAGCTTAGCTTTAGCTTAGCTTTAGCTTAGCTCTAGCTTAGCGTTTCGCTTAGCGTTTCGCTTAGCGTTTAGCTTAGCTTTAGCTTAGCTTTAGCTTAGCTTTAGCTTAGCTTTAGCTTATATTTAGCTTAGCTGTAGCTTAGATTTAGCTTAGCTGTTGCTCAGCTTTAGCTTAGCTTTAGCTTAGCTTTAGCTTAGCTTTAGCTTAGCGTTAGCTTAGCTTTAGCTTAACTTTAGCTCAGCTGTGGCTTAGCTTTAGCTTAGCTTTAGCTTAGCTTTAGCTTAGCTTTAGCTTAGCGTTACTGTTACTACTAATGCTGCTTTCCTAGGGGTTCCAACTCCTAGGTAGGGTCGCACTGGGATAATTTTGGACTTTTATTTTTCGTCCAAAATCTGCCCGTAGGGAGACATGCCCGACCTAAGTGCAACTCTGCCCACCCACCGCTCCAGCCCTCCCGTCGCGGAATTCTTCCACGTCTGAGCACCTATATCCCGTTCCACCCCGCGCGGCCGCCCTCTTTTTCCCCTGGCTCTTCTTGCACGCTGGAAAGTTTGCCTGCCGGTGCCCCCGATTAGCCCGCTCCTGGGTGCGGATCGCCTCCGCCTCGCCGCCGACAGCAAAAGTAATTCTTGCAATCACGGGCCTGTCGTTGCAGCGCTGGTTCGGTGGAAGCTCTCGATCGACATGGTGGCCGACTTCGAACGCGCGTACGTTCTTTGCGACGTAGGTAGAAACTTTGGTGGCGTTTGCAGGTCAACATCTACATCTTCGAGCCGATCAGATGGGTCTTGGGCAATGCGCACGACTTGGGGTGGGCTCGTGTCAGAGATGCGCGTGCCGCAGGGTCGCGCTACGATGCCGTCGGCGTTGGTTCCTGACGCCCCTCGGGCAGACGACCACGGGAGGAACTGCAAGCGGGGCGCAGGGGCCGCTGTTTCTTGCAGCCCGCTGGTCGCCCCCCGGTTCGCTCCCTCCCCCCCGTGAGAGGGCACCCGAGCCGCGTGCCCTCGGATCCGGGCGCTGAGCAATGACAGCGTGGCGGCCGGAGCTTCGGCGTTCCTCTGGCTCCTGCCTCCTCCCCCCCCCCCCCCTTCGGGTGCAGGTCCAGGCGTCGGTGCTGGCAGATCCGTGGTCGAGGGCTGGCCCAACCCGGCATGCTCTGGCTTTCCTCCTCCTCCTTCTCCCCCTCTCCTCCTCCTCCTCCTCCTCCTCCTCCTCCTCCTCCTCCTCCTCCTCCTCGTCCCACTCCTCCTCTATGCAGGTCTGCTTTTGAGAGAGGTGAAGGCAAGGGTGCTCGAGTCTCCCTGGTCTGTGGTGCTGTTTCGTGCTGCCCGCCATCCCAAGGGCGAGAGTCATATCGTGTCGTATCCTCCTCTCCTTTTCCTTATGCTTCTTCTGCCTCTGCTTTTTGTTCTTCCTCCCCCCTTACTCATCCCCTGATCCTGGGCGGCGATCCGTATGGTATTGTATCCTCTTCCTCTTCTGGATTATATTATTATTATTATTATTATTCTTATTCTTATTCTTATTCTTATTATTATTATTATTATCATTATTAGTATTATTAGTATTATTATTATTATTCGTATTATTGTTATTCGTTTTCCATTTTCCTAGAGCCTCTTCTTCTTGTTATTCTTATTGTTATGTTTCTAACTATTTTCTTATGTTGTATCATTCTTCTTCTTCTTCTTCTTCCTCCCCACCACCTTGGCCCCCTCGCGGCCCTGTGGGCAGAGTGGTCAAGCGCGCCCTATCGAGGGGAGGGACCCCTTCAGGGGCCCAGGGCGTCCCTCGAGGTGGGGAGTCGGTGCAGATGCCGCGAGCCGACAAGCAGCAGCTACGCCTTTCACGTGGTGCGCCGATCGCCAGGTGGAGGGCGCGAAGTGCAAGGAGGAGCGCTATAAGCCATCTGCCGGCAGATCTGCACTGCCGTGTGCCGTCGAAACTTCGTGTCGCATCGACGATCGGCTTGATGGTCTCCTGGACGAGCTGGCGGTCCTGGCAGCGCAGAGGCAGAGGGGCCGCTGTATTATACCGACGCGTTGGCGGGTGAAGTGGCGCACTCTGATCAGCATCGGCGTCGCCATGTCCGTCGCCAGGGCGCTGATGGACGCCGTCCCCAAGAGGTGATTTTATCCAGCCGCTTTCGTTGTAGTTGTAGTTGTTTATGAAAGAGAGAGAGAGAGAGAGAGAGAGAGAGAGAGAGAGAGAAAAGAGAGAGAGAGAGAGAAAATAGAAGAGAGAGAGAGAGAGAAGGACGTGCACATGCATGAATCCACGTGGGTTTCGAGCGCGCGACCAGCTTCGTGGATTTGGGGAGGGACCCTGGGGGGGCCCAGGGCGTCCCGCAAGATGGGTCGGAGCAGATGCCGCGAGCAGACAAGCAGCAGCCACGCCTTTCAAGTGGTGCGCCGATCGCGGGGAGAGAGAGGACGTGCAGTGGAGGCCCACGTCTCCAGGGTGCCCTGGGTTTCCTGGGCTTCGACGATATTGCTATGGAGCGCGTGACGTTCCCTCGTTAAAAGTCAGTGGACGTCCTGGGGTCTCAGGGTTGGGTTTCCTGTGGTCGGGACCCTACTGCGCACGTGCACGAATCTACGTTGGTTTCGAGCGTACGCGTGGCGCGAGCGTTCGTAGCGCGCGGCCGGCCTCCCGGATGGGGGGCCGTGTTCATGTACGGGGGTGTGCGCGCGCGTTTTTCGTGGGCTCCATGGATAGAGCCCTGCGCGCCGCCACGCTGGTCGCGGGCAGGCTGTGCTGCCCGGCGGAGGGGGAAGAGGAAGGGAGGAGCAGGCCCGCGATGACGAACGCGCAGGCGGGAGGCCAGGGCTGGCGTGGCGGGTGGTCAGGCGGAAAAGGTGCCACGCCTGTACTTCAGCATCGTTTGACCGACCCTTGTCCCCCTTGTGCGGCGAGCGAGGTGGATGAAGTCAGAAGGAGGGGTTTTTTTTCAGAGGGCGGCGGGGCTTTTCAGAAGCCCTCGCGCCTTCTGAGATGTCTTTTGTGTCTTCGAAAAACGCTTAGCTTTGAACATTTATCAGGGGGCCGGGGGATTTCGAGCCTTCTGAAAAGTCCCGCCCCTGTCAGTTTCCCCCCTTGGGCCGGCCGCCGACACATCCTCATCCCCTTCCAGATCCCAGTCATCTTATCACCCCAGTTGGAGACATACCCTTCGACAGCCGAAGGAAACGGCCCATCCCCCCATGTAGGGGGGTAGATCGGACAGTGGGGCTCAGGCCACGCCCACTGGGATAGGGTCGGTTAGACGATGCTCATTCTCACACCTATCAGATAGGGGACCGATTCAATCATCGATTTACCCCAGTACTGTCTTGTTCGTTGGATTTGTCAAACAAACGTATACTTTTTGTAAATCTTTGGAGCATTTTATGTTTTTTTGGTGACTTTAACTCGCATCGTGAAAAAACAAGGGGCGAATGTTTTGTCGTTTTCGGTCTTAGGGGGCCTTCGCCGGGCCCCAGGGCCGTCAAAAAACTGTTGGGATGAAGTGCCGGCCCCGGGGGAAGGGTTGGGACCTCCAGGGAGTTGAGGCGGCGGAGGAGGACCTGGGGCTGCGACGACGAGGGAGGAGGACCGAGGTTCTCCTGGAGCCCAGGAGCTTGTTCGTGCTGCAGGGCGAGAGCCGCTACGACTACAGGCGCGGCCCAGTTCATCTTTGATTGGGAGGAGACGGGAATACGGAAGAGGAGAAAGATGCTCAAAGGGATGATGGAGGAGGAAGGAACGAAGAACGGATTGAGGAGGAGGGGGAGGACCAGTTGAAACCCAAGACTCATCAACGATGTTGCAAATGAGCATTCCCTCCAAGTTCCATCTTCGTCCCGTCAAGAATTTATGTGTGCGGGAAATGTTCGTTGAAAAACAACCGTGCCATAACAACACTCTTGAGACTTCAACACCAGAGTCAACGTGAATGCCTCGTGCTAGCAATCCTGAATCGCTTTACCACCATTCCTGGAACTTCAACCCTACGAACTCTTGCAACCGTTGCAGCCTTTTTGAAATGAATGCGCGCGGCGCTAAGGCGAGAGCCACATCTACAAAAGGAACCGCCCTGCATCCTCGAGACCGTGGCAATGTGTTCCAGACGACTGTGCGCGGCGCTGATGCGAGAGCCACATTTTGAAAAGGACTCGCCCTCCATCTATGACATTATCGCAGGATGTACGAACAAAATTGCGCTGCGCTGAGGCGAAAACCAAATTTTTAAAATAACCCTCTATCCATCATTGAAGCTGTTGCAAACTTCTAGGACGAATGTGCTCGTGCTGATGCGAGAGCCACATTTTAAAAACGGTTCGCTCTCCATCCTTGAAGCTGTTGCACATATCAAGCTTCAGGTTCATGCTTGGTGCGGAAGTCGCAGGCAAAACGCTCGGCCCACCCAACCGACACGTCTGGGGGGTGAGACAGGGAGGAGTTGTTTTCAAGGAGAAGGGATTGAGGAGGAGAGAAGCAGGAGTAGGACAAGCGTCAGTCCAAGATTTGAGGGCGGCGCAGTTAATGGAATGTCAGCACCTGCGACTCTACAGGATCCCTATGTAGTGGTCGCGGGGAAGTTTTGCCACTCCAGCGTTTGTTGCGGCACGCATTTTTGCAACAGCCCGTACTTTAAGCAGTGACCTGTTTTGCAACGCACTGATTATGTTGACGATCCAAGCTCACCCCGAAGCAAGACAGCGTGCGCCCAACTCCATGGAGGAACTGTCCCTCGCCAACACACTTCACAGAAAGGGCAAGTCTTCAAGTACTGAGGCGGGGCCTCCATGCAATGACATGCTCTCTTCGTGTACACGCTGGCATTGATCAAGGATGAAGGTTAGGGGGGGGGGACTTGGGACAGGTTTGGCCTCGGGCACTCGCGTTTCGGCCACGCTGACGGGACAGCCGTAGGATGGCATGCAGGACTTGATAGCGGATGGGCGGTCGCGCCAACCTGCTCGAGAAAGGCCCCAGCAAGCACGTCCCGCCTTGATCCTTCACGACGCGAAGGCGCCGGTGCCCGAGCTCGCCCCAGACCTTCGAGGTCGTGTTTCTTCCCCGCCGCCTGGCTCCCCGGAGGTCTGGACCACTTCCCCGGTCTTGACCGCTTCCCCAGGTCGAACGGGGCTAGGACGACAAATCCTCTCCAGAGCGTTTAGGAACGCTCTCAGAGCGTTCCGGAACGCTCTGAGAAGGCCGCGGCGCCCGAGGCATCGTCCAGAGCCGCCGGATCTCAGAGATTCTCGATTTATCCTTACCCGATCTTATCCTTGTCCTGTATTCGTCTTACCATGACTGGCTCTTGTCACATCCCGAGCCGTTCTGAAACGGTCCCCAGGCCCCTTGGGCAAGACCCCAGTGAAGTTGCCTCTGTCCCGATCTCTGCACGACCCTAGGCCACCCAGATGGGGTCCGACCTAGGTGGGGTCGGAGGTTCGCGCCGCTTCGCCGATGCATCGGCGATGCGACTAGATGCTGAGCCCGATTTTCTCCGACCCGCAGTCGCCGATACTTCGCCGACGCATCGGCGATGCATCGGTGATGCATCGGCGATGCGGCGCGACCCTCCGACCCCATCTTCTCGGACTGGCGGCCATCTGGGCCTCGCGAGGGGTGCTCTTGAGGCCATCTGGGCCTCCTCGTAAGTGCCCCAGCCATGCTCGCGTCGAAAGAAGACAGGACGGGAGGTTTTGGATTGCAACCATTTTCTTATTCGTTGTTTTGCCGATCGGCGCGGGCCCTCGCACCCTCCCCCCTCCCCACTCTGGAGTAGATCTTGGCTGTTTTTGGCGCCTCTGTCGAGCAGGTGGAGTCTCCCCCCTAGGACGCACTGTTGCAAACATTCACGTTAAGCAGAGGTCCGGAGCCAGACCCCTCCCCATTTCCGCCCAATGTCGACATGCCGCAGAAGAAAACGCGTACATCGGTTTCGGCCTCTGGGGGCCCTCGTTGGGCCTCGGGACCGAAAGGCGCGGGATGGAAAGCCCCTCACGACGCGAGGGCTCCTGGGTCCGAACCTGCCCCGATGCCTGCCTCCCCGCTCCCGTGCCCGCGGAGGTCAGCAGTTGCGTGGTCTCGGGCAGTTGTGTTCGGGGGCGGCCAAGATGGGGGGTGATGCGTAAGGGGGGGGTGGATATCATTGCGGGGGCCATGATACCTCCCCAGATTTTCATGCCGCCTCTTCTTATTTCAATACTCCCCCGGTCCCCCGCCTGGGCCGCGCACATGCCGCTGGCCATGATTTGCGCCCCCCCTTCTAGGACGCCCCCTCTTGGCCGCCCCCGATGTGTGATGGTCATGTGAAGCCCCACCGTCGAGCATATCTCAACAGGCTGGGAGCGAGCCAGTGGCCCAAGCTTCTTAGCAAGGCTGAGCAGCAGAGCCGTGGTTTGTCGTCTTTCTTCAACGACTTAGTTCTAGGCTACCCAGATGGGGTCGGATAAAATGGTGTCGGATGATCGTGCCGCATCGCCAATGCATCGGGGATGCGGCTCGATGTGGAGCCCGCTCTTGTCCACGCTGGCGTCGCTTATGCGTCGCCGACGCCGCCGATGCATCGCCGATGCATCGTCGCTGCATCGCCGATGCATCGGCGATGCGGCGCGGTCCTCCGATCTTGCTTGCCTCGGACCCCGTCTGGGAGGCCTGTCAGTCGGATAGCTCGACGGCCCGACAGCGCGCCCGCGCCCGCGCCCGCCCCGCAGGCACGGCATCCGCAGGTCCCGCAGCGTCCCGCTGCCGGGCGGCACCGTCCTCCGGCGCGGCAGCGGCTACCGGCGCGTGTCGCTCACCTTCCGGGAGCTGCTGGCCACGAGGCGCGGCCCGGCCACGGGGCCCCGGGAGCTCGGGCGTGGCGCCAGGGGTTAAGGCGGGCCTGTCCCTCTACACAGGGGGAATTTGCCGTGAAGGTCCTCGCGATGCTTAGGACAAGTGTGCGCCGCGCTAAGGCGAGAGCCACACTTTGACAACGGCTCGCCCTCAATCTGTGAAACGTCCGCATTTGTGTAAGACGAATGTGCGCGGCGCTGAAGCGAGAGCTGCATTGAGAAAACTACCCGTCCTCAATACGTGAAGCACTTGCAAGTTTTGTAAACGAATGTGCGCGGTGCCAAGGCGAGAGACACATTTTGGAAACGGCCCGCCCTCCATCTGTGAAATTGTTTCCCATGCTTAAGATGAGGAAGTCTCCGGCAAAACGCAAAGCCCGCCCTTTAGACCGGCCTGGGGGAGCGGCAGGGAGGAGTTATTTATAAGGAAACCGAATGGAAGAGGAGGAGGAGGGGGAGGAGGAGGAGGAGGAAGTGGAGGAGGAGGCCTCTTGGGAGCCTCTCGGGGCACTCTTGGGGGCCTCCTGGGCTTCCTGGGGACCTCATGTAGGCCTCTCGGGGGCGTCCTTATAGGCCTCTTGGGGGGCTTTGGAGGCTCTTCGGGAGGCTCTCTGGCCGTCTGAGGGCGTTCCTGGCCCGTCTGACGCCGCCGTCTGGGGGCCTCTCTGTGTCGACTTCGGGCCCTCTTGGTGCGCTTCAGGGACATCTTGGAGGCCATCTTGGGTATCTTGGAGTCCTTTTGGTTCTTCTGGGGCCGTTTTCGGGGTCTCTTGGGCCGTCAGGGGGCCGTCTCGGATGCTGCTTGGGCGCTCTTGGGGCCATCTTGGTGGCCTCAGGGGCCGTCTTGGGCCCCTGGGCCGTCCGAAATCCGAAAATGAGAAATCGCCAGAATCCTGAAACAATCCAAGGAACATCAATGCGCTTGGCCTCTTCCGGCCGTCCTGGAGTTCCTCTTGGAGGCCTCTTGGGCTTTCTTGGACTTGGGCCGTCTTGGGCGATCTTGAGGCCGTGTTGGGCCATCTTGTGGGCATCTCGGCCCGTCTTGGAGACATCTTGGGGCCATCTTGGGCTCTCTTGGGGCCATCGTAGCCGACTTGGAGACCATCTTGGCCGTCTTGGAGGCTATCCTGGGGGTCTGGAGGTCTGGAGCGGGAAGGCCGACGGCCTTGGAAGTTCATGGGTCCTTGTGGGGCGGGAAGCCGATGGGAGCCTTCTTTCAGCGCGCCCGCATCAGGCCGAGACCCCATTGGGAACCTTCAAAAGCGGGGCCGACACGCTGTGCAACCCTGTGGCAAGCCACAGGGAGGCCCATCTCGCCACCGCCTGGGCTGTAGGTCCGAGACCACTCGGAGCCCTTTTTGTCTCGTTCCGGGGCGCTCGTGGCTCCGAAAAAAGTCGTGCGGGAGGCGCGGTGGAATCGCGGGAGGCACGCCGAGAGCCCCAGAAAAATGTGGGAATGAAGGGTCCGGGCTCCTTAGTATTCAATCCTGAGCACTTGATCGAGACCGGGGACTACAACAGACCTGAGGGCGCTCCACTTCGTGCCTCGCGGCACGGTGGCGGATTACGATTGCCATGACGCACTCTCGCACCATGACGCCGAACGGCTACCACCACCATCGTCACCGCGACCGCGATTACGGCACCAGCCGGGGACCACCGCCACGACGCCAGCTACCACAACTACGACGACCGCGACGACAACTACCATAAACGTTCGGAGGCGCTGGCGCCCACCGCCACGATTTCGGGTTGACCCAAAAGGGGGTCCAGCGACAAGGGGGTGGTGCAATAGATTTGGTGCAATAGATTTGTGGGGTTGCAATACATTTGGGGCGTGCAATATATTCCCGGGCGCAAATGTATTGCTGGATTTTCGCGTGCAATGCATTAGTTGCAACACAACGCAATACAATTCTCCAGCGCAATACGTTTGCAATACAATTGCCCCAAATCTATTGCACCACCCCCTTGCAGCTGGACCCCCTTTTCGATCGCCCAGACGATTGCCACGGCCAGCACCACGACAGCCACTAGCACGCCCACCACCAGCACGACCACCGCTGACACGATCACAACACTGCGACCACCACCACGACCACCGCGACCACCAGCACGACCTCCACAGCCGCTCCCCACCCACCCCGCCCCCCTTTCCCCTGTTTGCCGCCCCTGCCGCAGCGCTTGCCCCGCCTGTCCCCCTCCCCCCGCTCCTCTCTGAGGCTGCGCTGGCCCAGCCTGGGCCCGAAGACGGCTTGACACCGGCCCTTTGGCAGGTTCCAAAGCAGGCCCGGTTCGGGCCCCGCACGGCTCTGGCTGTCGGCGGATTCGGACCTACCTCACACGCCAGGCTCCCAGAAGCCAGTCGTCCCCAAGGTGGACGAGTGCCAGAGCCGCGGGAGAGGCACGGGAGGGGATGGTAACGAGGCTCGAGGGAGGGGAGGGGAAGGAAGGAGGGAGGGAGGGAGGTATGAGGGAGGGAAGGAGGAAGGAGGAGGGAGGAGGGGAGGGGAGGGAGGGGGGAAGGGAAGGCGTGAGGAGGAGGAAGGGAGGAGAGGAGAGAGGAGGAGGAGAGGAGGAGGAGGAGGAGGGAGGAGGAAGGAGGAGGAGGAGGGGGAGGGAGGAGGGCGAGGGCGAGGGGCGGAGGGGGAGGGGGAGGAGGAGGGAGGAGGATGAGGAGGCAGGTAGAGAGGAGGAGGAGGGGAGAGGAGAGGAGGAGGAAGGAGGAGGAGGAGGGGAGGAGGGAGGAGAGGAGGAGGAGGAAGGAGGAGGAGGAGGAGGAAGGAGGAGGAGGAGGAGGAGGAGGATGAGGAGAGAGGAGGAGGAGGGAGGAGGAAGAGGAGGAGGAGAGCAGGAGCAGGAGGAGGGGAGAGGAGGAGGAGGAGGAGGAGAGGGAGGAGGAGGGGGGGGGGAGGCGGAGGAGGCGGGAGGAGGAGAGAGAGGAGGAGAGGAGGAGGAGGAGGAGAGAGGAGAGGAGGAGGAGCAGGAGAGGAGGAGGAGGAGAGGAGGAGAGGAGGAGCAGAGGGAGGAGGGAGAGGAGGAGGGAGGAGGGAGGTAGGGGGAGGAGGGAGAGGGAGGAGGGAAGGAGGGGGGAGGACGGGAAGGTAGGAGGAGGAACGAGGAAGGAGGAAGGAGGCAGAGAGGAGGGAGGAGAAAGAAAAGGAGGAGTAGGAGGTGGAGGAGGAGAGGGGGGAGGAGGAGCAGGATGAGAGAGGAAGAAGAAGCAGAGGGGGTGGTGGAGGAGGGGGAGGGGGGCAGGAGTATCAGAAGGAGGAGGAGGAGGAGGAGAGGAGGAGGAGGAGGACAACGACCGCTACGGTGGCGGGCCTCGCTGCGGCCTTTCCCCCCGGGCCCCTCTTCGCCGCCCCGCTTCTGGCAGGCGGCAGCTGGAGGAGGACTGCGTGCACGGCCCCACCGATGGCCGCGGTCGGCGGAGCGGCCCTGAGGGCCAGACAGGAGGGTAGGCTTCCCTGTCTCGTTCCTTCTTGTCGTCGTGTCGTCGTCGTGTCCTCCTCCTCCTCCTTCTCCTCCTCCTCCTCCTCCTCCCCCTCCTTCCGCTCTCCCTCCCTCTCCTCCTCACTCCTCCTCCTCCCAATCCTCTCTCCCTCCTCCTGCCCCTCCTCCTCCTCCTCCTCCTCCTCCTCCTCCTCCTCCTCCTTGTCCTCCGCTTCTCCTTCCTGGTTGGGTGGTCTCCCCCTTTCTTCCCTCCCCGCTCTTCCTCCTCCTCCCTCCTCCTCTCCTCCTTCCTCCATCCCTCCTCCTCTCCCTCCTCCGCCCCCTCCCCCTCCAACCCCGTCTCCCTGCCGCTCCCGCTCCCCGCCTCCCGCTCCCGGCTCCCGCTCCCGCTCCCGCTCCCGCGCCCGCTCTCCCCCTCCTCCTCCTCGCTCCTCCTCCTCCTCCTCCTCCCTCCTCCTCCTCCTCCTCCTCCTCCTCCTCCTCCTCCTCCTCCCTCCTCCTCCTCCTCCTCCTCCCCTCCTCCTCCTCCTCCCCTTCCTCCTTCTCTCCCTTCTCCCTCGCATCCTCCTCCTCCGTCCTCCTGCTTCCTCCTCCTCCTCATCCTCCTCCCTACCCTCCTCCTCCTCCTCCTCACCCCTCCCTCCTCCTCCCTTCCTCCTCCTCCTCCTCCTCCTCTCCTCCTCCTCCTCCTCCTCCCTCCTCCTCCTCCTCCTCCTCCCCCTCCTCCTCCTCCACAATTATTACATAATATGAATGCTACTCTCCTCTTTCCCGTGGTGACGTCGGCCCCCCCTCGATCTGCGTACGGTTTTTACACCAGAAGCCCGGGAAACGGGTTTCCGCAGTTTTTTGTGAAAATGTTGCTCTCGCTGAAGTTCTGGCGTCATTTCCGGGCTACCGCTCGTTCCGCGTCGTGCTACCGCTCGTACCGCTACCGCTGGTTCCCGGTCCTTCCAGATACGGCCCAACATCTAGAAAATGCCCTTTCCGAAAAACCATCGGAAGTGATTGCACATTCGGTGTCGATTCGTTGATTTTCTGGGCCGCAGAAGCCCCCCTCCAATTTGGGGCGTCGCTCCGCCACGCTGTGTCAGGCTGCGCGTCCTCATTTCCGCGCTTCCGCGCCTGGATGTTTGTTTCAACATGTTGCTCTCTCTGAATATCTAGCTTCGTTTTCGGGCTACCGCTCGTTCCGCATCGTGCTCCCGCTGCAGCGCTGGCCTTATTTCCGCGCTTCCGCTCGTTTCGAATCGTTCGCCCGCTGCAGCGCTGGCGTCATTATTTCCAGCGCCATGCCGCGGCATGGTTCCCGCTCCTTCCAGATAGGGCCCAACATCTAGAAAATGCTCTTTCCGAAAAACCATCGGAAGTGATTGCACATTCGTTGTCGATTCGTTGATTTTCTGGGCCGCGGACCCCCCCACCTTGGGGCGTCTCTCCGCCACGCTATGTCAGGCTACGCGTCCTCATTTCCGCGCTTCCGCGTTTGGGTTGTCCTCATTTCCGCTCTCGCTGAAGCGCTGGCTTCATCTTCGGGCTACCGCTCGTTCCGCAGTGCTCCCGCTGCAGCGCTGGCCTTATTTCCGCGCTTCTGCTCGTTCCGAATCGTTCCCCCGCTGCAGCGCTGGCGTCATTATTTCCAGCGCCATGCCACGGCATGGTTCCCGCTCCTTCCAGATAGGCCCGTGATTACACATTCGGTGTCGATTCGTTGATTTTCTGGGCCGCAGATAGCCCCCTCCACTTTGGGGCGTCGCCACGCCATGCTATGTCATGCTACGCATTGATCTTCGACACCGCGTTATGCCATGTAATACTATCGTCCGATTGTGCGAATAGAGAGGAGATCTGCGCCATGGTGAGGGATGGAAGGGAGGGGTACGAGGTCAGGGATGACGCGAGCGCACCTAGCTTGTCCCCCTCCCTCCGCCCTCCCCCTCCCCCCCCTCCGACATCCATCCTCCCGCGCCCCTCCTCCTCCTCCTCCTCCTCCTCCTCCTCCTCCTCCTACCCTCCTCCCTCCCCTCTCCCTCCCCTGCCTCTCCTACCTCCATCCTCTTCCTCCTCCTTCTCCTCCTCCTTCTCCCCCCCCCCCAACCCCCCCCCCCCTTTCCGCCTCCTCTTGCTCCCCTCCTCCGCCGCCCTCCTCCTCCTCCTCCTCCTCCTCCTCCTCCTCCTCCTCCTTCACCTCCGTAGCCATTTTGGCTCAAGTTCCAAACGACGCCCCCGCGCCTGGAACTTGGCCATTGCCGAGGGGGCGGTTCAAGGCCCCTGTGCAATCAGTTTTTTTTGTTTTGGAACACGCTTTCAGCGACCGCTCGCACGAGCCGCCCAGGCGGTGCGATCTTCAGTGAGCTCCTGGTGGGGCATACATGCACGCTCTCTCATGTCTTGGCATGATCATGGGGGAAAGAAGAAACAGGTGCAGTACAAGCCGTGCTCTTCCTGCAGGTACAGGTGGAATGTCAAGAACAACGACTGGTGCTACCAGTGTGCTGCTCCGCTGGTCGAGTTCCCCGCCTTGGAGCGCAAGCCCACAGGCAAGTGGCTGTTCGGCCCCCCAGCCTTGGCGATCGCGGACTCGCCGTTCAACGAGCAGGTCCAGGCGCCAGATGCGGGCGTTGCAGCCGCTAGCGGGGTTTACTTCGGCGGCGAGGGCAAGGGCACGTCAGGCGGTAAAGGAGGTGGCAAGGGCAAGAAGAAAGGTCCTGGGCCTCCACCGCCATCCAAGACGACGGGGGCCTCGCCTCCGACTGGATACGTCTACTACGTGCCGCAGAAGGGTGGGTTGCCCATCCGCCGCCAGAGCCCGACGTTTCGGTGTTCCTGCGCTCGAAGTTTGGCGAGGGCGCGGGGCACGTCGGCCTCCTCAAGTCCTTGGACGAGGCGCTGGCTGCAAAGGCGGCGTATCCTGCACCCGCGAAGCCCGTCAAGCCGCCCCTTCTGGAGGCCGAGGCCCATGCTAAGGGTGTTGCCGCCCGCAAAGCTCAAGATCGTCTGGACATCTGCGCGCTCAGGGTCCTGGAGGGAGATGAGTGGCTCAGACAGGCCCGTGAGGACGAGGCTGCAGCAGCCAAGGCAGCCAGTGAAACCACGCTGGGGTGGCAGCAGGCATGCGCCAAGCATGTCCCGAAGGCGGCAGCTACGACAGCACCCGCTACTTCGTCGATCAGCCTCTCGACGCTCCTCGTGGCCGAAGGCGACGTCCAGGAGCTCGCCGTTATTGAGGGCCCCGCGTTGGACATCAGCGGGCTCGAGCTCTCGGACACGGAGCGCGCTGAGCGGGAGAGGGTCAAGCGAGGCCTCGCCTCCGAGGTCCAAAATGCTGTGTCCACAGCGTTGGCGGCTACGCGCCAGAAGTTTGCCACCCTTACATCTGAAGCCGCCGCCGTGCACGAGCGGCTCAAGGCCAGCCGTCGCCGAGGGGGCACCGGCGAGGCCGCCGACGGCGCAGCCCCAGCTGCCGAGACGGCCACAGCAGATGGCGGAGTCTCCAAGCCTGCAGGCCCTGAGGATGACGCTGATCTCGGCGGCGGTGGGTCTGCTTCGGGCGCCGCTGGCGGCGACGGCCGCGCCGCCGACCCAGAGGCCTTGCGTCAGTCCAGCAGGGCCCGCGCTCAGAAGAGGCGAGAGGAGGCCGCAGCAGCTGCCGCCGCTGGAGACGCGGCCTTGGAGGCCCTCGCATCCACCAAGGCGGAGCTGTGTGTGTAGTCTGCTCTTCCTCTGTTCGGAGGCGCTTCCTGGCCTTGCTATGAGGCGGATTTTCTGTCCCCGGCCGAGGAGCTGGCGCATGATGGGGAGTTTCTTATCAAAGCCAGTGGCCCGGGAAGTTCATTCCTCGGGGCGGCTTCGCGGCTACGGTTCTGTTGCGGAGCCAGTGGCCAGAGAGGTGCGTGCCTCTAGGCGGCTTCGCTCCCCGTCTCCCTTAAAGGTGTCTGCTGGTGGTTTATCCAAGCCCGTGGCCTGGGATGCGCGTGCCCCAGGGCGGCTTGTTGCTTGCTATCCTGCTGCGGGGCCAGTGGCCAGAGAGGTGCGTTCATCTGGGCGGCTCCGCTCTGCCGCGGCGTGGCGTATCCCGTCTTCGGCGCCTGTAGCCAGATGGGTGCATTCTTCGGAGCAGCGCGCGCGCGCGACAGCTTCGTCGAGTGGCGGGGGCAGGGGGCAGGCTTTGGGCCCTAAGGCCAGCGCGGAGGGCGCCAGGGAGTGAGGGGCGGCCTCCGATAGATGCGGCCCAGTGGTATTCATCGCCGACGAAAGTGGTGTTTGTTCGTCTCCTCAAGTTAGGGAAGCATCTGCATAGTCCAGGCCGTGGGAGATTATCTTTCCGCATGGTGGTCGACCGTTTGTGGCTGGTGCTGATTATGTCCGTCCTGAGGGCATGTGCGATCCTCCATGTGAGTTGCCTTGATACGACTGAGACACGTTTCCTCGATGGGAAATCATCGCGAGCTTCCGGGCGGGTGCCCGACCATGCCAGCGCCGGCGGCGACGCGCAGTCCAGGATGGATTGGTGCGATGCCTATGTTACAGAGGTCTCGCGACGCAGTTCGCATCGCGACGTGCTTCGGATGGTCAGCGATTGCCGACCTATTCCTGAACTAGCCGTGGGCGCCGTGGATCAAAGCAGGGAAGCACGGCGTTGGGGTCGACCACAAAGGGGCCGCTCTTTGCAGTATCATGGGTGGTTGGCTGGTCTTGAGGATCGCGACGCGTGGGCAGCAGCCGCCTCAAGCCATTGGCGAGTCTTGCGGCGGGTTCACGGTGAGATGCGCGAAGTGCTTAGGGATCGAGCACCCCCTGCCATGCCGAGGGAGTGCTACGATGGCGATCCTCCTCGACGCCTGCAGCAGTTGCCGAGGAACAGTCAGGGCCGGCGGCGGCGTGCCCCTCGAGCGCCGTCGGATCATCGTCGCCATCGGACGTGGCTGGTTCTCCGCAGTCAAATCCTGCCGGCTTAGCCGAGCAGGTTCGCGTCGCCACGGTGGCGTCGGAGCGCGCGTCAGTCGCTTCTGAGACGCAGTAAGGGCCAGCAGGAGCGCGTTCCACGAGCGCTCTTGCTTCGTCGCCGCCCAAGGGCGCGGCTCGGTCATCGCCGAATCCTGCAGTCCTTGGGGGGCAGGTTCGCGTCGCCCCGGAGGCGCTGGATCGCTTGTCGATGTCGGTGGCGCCTTGTGAGAAACAATCAGGATCCGCGGCAGCGTGCTCCTCCAGCGCTGTCGCTCTTTCGTCGCCGACGGGCGCGGCCCCTGCAGATATCTCGCGCAAAGGTGTTGCCGCCGTGTATCTCGAGCTCGACCCGTTTGACGCCGTCGACGAGGAAGCTGGGGCATGATTTTACGTTCCACCAGAAGGTCGCGCTTCAGCCGAGCAAGGCCCCTTCGATGCCCTACCTGAGGGGGCTGATATCTCTGCGGTCAGGAATGGCGGGCTGCGTGCTGGGGCCAAGCTTACTTGGCGTTGTGATGTTGTTATGGATGATAACAGGGGGTCTGTTTGCTGGCAGCGAGAAGTCCCCGGAGCATGGGGGTCTCTTGCCGCTGAGACTCAGCCGCCCAAGCGCTTGCCCGCGGAAGTTGGCACCGTGCCAATTCTGCATGGCAGCGTCGTGGAGTGGGGGCCCCGAGCGCATCGATTTTTCGCTCGAGGCCCCTTCGATGTGCTGCGCTTTGTGGAAACGCGCGCCCAGTCAGCCCCCCGCTCCAAGGTGGAGCAGGACCTCGACGAGGGCGGCTGGACATGTTCGGCCACGGGCAGCGTGCCCACGGGCAGGGGGGGATCCCCAGGAGGCGAGCTCGCGTTGGCCAGGAAGCACTTAGCTGCTACTTCACTCCAGAGCGTGCGCCAGCGCGCGCTAGCCAATCGAGCCGTTGATCCCCTCGAAGGCTTCGCCGCTATGGTGCTGCATCTGTCTTCTGGCAACTCAGTGGTGCTGGCGCTGTATCTTCGGGCCGGTCTCGGCGTCGGTGGCAGGGGCCGGCAGATCTTAGCAGCGGCTGCATCTTGTGTGGGCGGTCTGTCTGGGGCCATATTGAGAGATTGGAATTGCGCTCCGCAGGTTCTGCTCATGTCTGGCTGGCCCGATCGTCTTGGAGGAGAGGGGCCCTTTGGCCGTCCAAGTGTAAGACGGCGCGCGATAAGTCTGCCGAGGGCCCCTTGATCAAATATGCGTTGGTCGAGGCTGGCACCGAGGGCAACTTCGAGCTACGGGGGTTCTTTGAGGCCCCCTAGGATACCCACTGTGGGCTCCAGCTCGACGTCAGAGGGGCCTTCAAGAAGCAGTGGCGTCGACGCCTTCAGCTAGCGCAGCCTCTTCCTCGCGTCTCACGGCCCGAGAAGAAAACCAGCGCAGCCAGCGAGCGGCCCAAGCAGCGAGTTGAGACCATGGCCAAGTGCAGGGCCGCGTCGCCCGACGAGGCCTTGCGGCTGGAGTTCGACGCTCTGCATGACGAGAAACAGCACACTGACGCAGCAGCATATGCCCAATGTTTTGAGATTCCTGCAGATTCATGGCCGGCTACGGCGGGGCGATTTCCTGCGCGTGCTGGAGGCGAGTACCTTCGGTTTCGCCATCTCTTGGGACAGGTCAATTCAGAAGGCCTGGACAGGGTCGCGGCCTCCAGCGCCAGCTGGGTCTCCAAGACAGAGGACGCCATGACCAGTCACCATAGGCTACCTTAAGTGAAGGCGGAGCCCAGCAGAGCCTGCGGGTTTCAGCTTGTTTGGCGGGAGTCCAAGTCAGCGCCTGGGCGAGCGCGGCGTCAGGCCCGAAGGGCCTTGGCCGACGCGGCTGCTGCCGACCTACGTAAGGGCCCCTTGGACAATGCCAGCGCTGGCCTTGAGGTGGCCAGGAGTGGCTCCACATCAGAGGTCGCCGTTCGGAATTTTGCTCATCGCTTCGAGGCGGTCGGTTGTGTATTTCGTTGCTGTATTTGCAGCTTTCTTTCGTCCAGAATGGCCTTGTAGACACCTGCAAGACCAATTGTGCTTTAACCGTCCTGGCTGATTTTCCCAGGGATTTGGTCCTTCAGGTTCGGGATCCCGTGGAGGTTCGCGGGGCTTTACTTCATGGGTCCCACGCCCTGGCCCGCTGGGACTTGCACGGCTTGTTTTTTGTGTTTAATGCGGTCGCACGGTCACCGCGGACAGCCGCCAGCTTGTTGGATAGTGCCTTCCTATCATTCGCAAAGGACGGGAGAACTCAGGGCGCTCTAAGAAGGGTTTTTTCCCTTCGTATGTTGGCGCCTCGCGGTTGGCATGTGACACCGCGAACGCACGGATGTTGTCCGCGGCTACAAATTGTGCTGAGGTTGAGCGACAACCAGAAACCACCCCGCCAGTCGAGGCGTCCCCTTCCCACCCTCGTTGTGGAGGGGTGAAGGAGTGGGGGGGGCCCTTAGGGTCCCCTCCGCGGGTTCGCGGGTTCTCGCTTTTCCCTCCCTCTCTTTCCCTCTTCCTCAGCACGTTGTGCTTATCAAGGAGTCGAGAAGAGTCCTCCTCCTCCTCCTTCTCCTCCTCCCCCTCCCCCTCCTCCTCCCCCTCCTCCTCCTCCTCGTTCCTCCTCCCCCTCCTCCCCATCCTCCTCCTCCTCCTCCTCCTCCTTTTCCTCGTCCTCCTCCTTTCTCCCTCCTCCTCTTCCTCCTCCTCCTCCTCCTTACTCCTCGTCCGCCTCCTCCTCCTGCTCCTCGTCGTCCTCCTCGTCCTCGTCCTCGTCCTCGTCCTCGTCCTCGTCCTCGTCCTCGTCCTCGTCCTCTCCCTCCTCCTCCTCCTCCTCCTCCTCCTCCTCCTCCTCCTCCTCCTCCTCCTCCTCCTCTGTCTCGTACACCTGGTTTCTTGTTCTTGATGGCCGTAGAGTTCACCGAACGCGGCCTCTTTCCTCAACCTCCTCCTCGTCATTTTCTGCCTCTTCCTCGTCGTTCTCGTCCTCGTCCTCCTCGGGGAGGCTTCCCTTGCCTCGCTCTTCCTGCATCGACCTTCGAGCTGCGAACACTTGGTTGGATGCGGCCTTGGAGCCCCTCTCACCCAGAAACGCCGGGGGGAGGGACGAAATAGAAGCCACGCGGAACAGAGAGAAAGGAAGGGCCGCCCAAACGACAGAAACTGACGGGGGCAGTGACAGATTTTCGTGGCGGCCAGACCACCCTCCTCCTCTTTTTCCTCCTCTTCATTATCCTCCTTCTCCTCCTCCTCCTCTTCCTTCTCCTCCTCCCTCACTTGACCTTCTCCATTCCTTCCTCCTTCTCCCTCCCTTCTGCCCCTCCTCCCTCCCTCGGCTGTCGCTTCCCATGGAAACGACACGCCCTGGCAGTCGCGAGCATTACCCGTGCCTTCGAATTGAACTTCCTCCGTTCCTCCTTCCTTCTCGCCCTCCCACTCTTTCTCCCTCCTCCCCTCCCTCCCTCCCATCCTCTTCCATGCCCCCCCTCCCTCCCTCCGACATGCCGTGGTTTCCCTCCTCTCTTCTCCTCCTCCTCCTCCTCCTCCTCCTCCTCCTCCTTCTCCTCCTCCTCCTCCTCCTCCTCCTCCTCCTCCTCCTCCTGCTCTCCTCCTCCTCCTCCTCCTCCTCCTCCTCCTCCTCCTCCTCCTCCCCCCTCCCCCGAGTCTTTGCTGTGCTTATTTCTGTTGTTGTTTCTGTTTTTGTTTGCGTGCATGTATGTTTTTCGCTGTATCCTCTGGCGCGTAACAGTCGTTATCCGGGCCAGACGCCCCCCTCCCGGGTAACGGTGTAACAATCGTACGTCGGGGGGGCCTACGCCCCTCACGTGCTGGCGTTCGCGCGCATATGTGGCGATCGCAGCGCTCCACCGCCCCAACGTGCCCCGCCCCGCCCAAGCGTTACCGTCCCCCCCCTGGGTACGTAACGACCGTTGCCGGAAATGATAAGAACGATCTCCTCGTCTTCCTCCGTTCTTCCCTCCTCCATCCCTTCCCCGTTCCCTTCTCCTGCCCATCCATCTCTTCCTCCTTCCCTCCCTCACTCTCTCTCTCTCTTCCTCCCTCCTTCCCTCCTCCTCCCTCCTCCTCCACACCCCTCCCCTTCCTCCCTGCCGCTGACATGCCGCGGGTGGTCGTCGAATGTTAGGACATCACCCTGTGACGGCGTTAAGTCGATTCCTCCCTCGTTGCCTCCTGTCGCTGTCGCTGCAGGCTCTGGAGTTCATCCCGAACGCAGTCATCCCGTTCCCTTTTCTTCCCCCTCCTCCCTCCTTCCCTCCCCCCCCCTCCCACACCCCTTCCTCCCCTCCCTCCTTTCTCCCCCCTCCCCTCTCCAAGCGACCGTCCGCTCTTCCCGTGCCCCTTCCGTTTGGCGCGCCTGCCGCCTTCCTTGGGCCGCTTCCGGGCGCCGGCAGGCCCGCTCGTTCCTTCGTTCCGCCCTCCCCTTCCTTCCTTCCTCCTCCTCCCTCTCCTCCTCGTGCCCCCGTCTTCTGGCCCGCGAAATCCTTGGGGGAGCCTTCTTGCTGCGAGAGTGCAGCGGTCGCCCTCTGTGCTTCAGGACGCCACCACGACCAGGCCGCCAGCGACTCTGCCTCCCGTGCCCGCGGCCCAGCAGACCTGGCATCGGTGCCCCTCCTCCAACGTGTCTCTTCGAAGTGCTGTCGACATGCTGTCGTACAGTGGAGGCCAGTCCACAAGAAACCTTCCGCAAGAAACCCAACCCTGAGACCCCAGAGCGTCCTTTAACTTTTGGTGTGGGGACGTTACGCTTTCCATCGCAGAAACATCGAAACCCAAGAAACCCAGGGCGCTCTGGAGGCAAGCAGGGTGTTTCTCGGCAGGGGTCTCCTTGGTAGCGTCAGTCCTCCAACCTCCCACTCCCCCTCCCCCCCACCCGTCGCCCCACGGCTCGAGCCCAGCCGCTGTGCTTCCGCTCTGCAGCACGGGCGGCACGTATTCGGAACGAGGGGGAGCGACGCAGCAGCGGGAACAAAGCGGAGAGCACGGCGCATCGTTGGGAACCTCTTGGGCAGCCTGTCGCTCCGCCGCTTCTGGCCCACCCGCGCCTCGCTCCGACGATCTCTCTCCGCCGCCCGGCCCCCCCGGGGCGCCCACGCCCCGAGCTCTTCCGAGCCTCCCGCCCCGCGGAGCGCGGCGGCGCGCCGTCCGCCTGGCTGGCGCGCGGCGCGTTTCGCCGGGGCCGCCGCGGCGACGCGCGATCCAGAAGGAGTTCGCTTCGCCGGCCCCCTCGATCCCCGTCTCCAGCCCCATCCAGACCCCCACTCATCTCAGCACCCCAGCTGGGGGCATGCCCCCAGACGCCCACAGGGAACGGCCTCCGTCCCCATCCAGACGTGCGGCGTCCTGATTTTCTCAGGACGGCGTGCGCGGCAGTCCGGACCCTTTCCCCGCGGCCGGCTTTTCATCCTGAGTGTTTTTTTCACGGTCCCGGGGCCTGGCGAGGGCCCCCAGGGGCCGAAAATAGCGAAAAACTGGCCGTCCTTTTTAACGACGCAGATCGGCCAGTGGGGCCCAGGCCACGCCCATAGGTAGGGACAGGGGCCAGTCGTAGCGATGCCCACGACCGCAGCTTCGTCGAGTCCTGCCTCTGCTGCTACCCCTCCCGTCGGGGACGGCAAAGAGGGGGGGTGATGACTAGGGGGGTTGATTTCATTGCGGCGGCCATGTTAACTCCCCAGATTTCATTGCGCCTCTTCTTATTTCAACACGTCCCTGGCCCCCCCCCCTCCCTGGGCTGCGCACATGCCGCGGGCTATGCTTTGCGCCCCCCCCTCTTGGACCCCCCTAGGCCGCCCCCGACGTAGTAGCGAAGCTCACGACCGTAGCCTTTAAGTCGGGCGTGTCCATTTACAGGGGGAATCTTCAAGAATAGTCAAAAATAGTCTGGCCACGATTTTCCTATTATTTTTTTTGGGCCACTCTGGAATCTCTTTTTGATGATTTCTGCCGTGCTCCTTTTTCCAGCTTCCGCCTGTGGGGGGGTCGTGCCCGACCCGACCGTGGCCTCGTCGAGCCCTGCCTCGGCCGCTGGCCCCCCCCCGAGGGGGACCCTGCCCTGCCTCGCCCTCGTGCGGGGGAGGAGCCGACCCGCCGACCGCGGGCCCTCAGAGGCCCGCCCTCGTGGCCGGGCCGGTGCAGCGGACGGCGGCGGGCCGCGTGCCCCTCGCGAGCTGACGGGCTCCGGCTCGGGGCTTTTTCGAGCCTCGGGCCGGACGAAAGGGGGGGATGGTCGGGGGACAAAAAGATACGGATACGTGTTGTCCCCCTGCGTTTTCGGCCTTTCCTGGTCCTCCTGGGGGATCCTCGTTGTCACCGCTGGATTCGCCTCGAAATTCTGGTCAGAACGCACCCCAAGAGAGGTCCGGGGATAACACGTATCCGCATCTTTCCGCCCCCCAAGATGGGGAAAGTGGGGGGTTGCGAAATCTGCTGCGTGCAGCTGGTTTCGGCCCCGCCGAGGGGCCCATGCCTCGATACATGGGCGCCTCCCGGCGCCGGGAGGCGCCGGGAAAATCAGCTACGCGAGCTGATTGTCCCCCCCCCCCTTTGCTATCCCCCCCTTTCGCCTGGCCCGACCCTCGCGAGCTGACGGGCTCTGGCTCGGGACTTCTGAGTCGGGCGCGTGCCTCTGCAGGACCTCTTTCTGGGCCTCCCAAGTGGGGTCGGAGCAGATGGCGCCGGAGGATCGCGCCGCAGCGCCGATGCATCGCCGAGGCGGCTCGATG